CCACCACAACTGGCTAATTTTTTTGATTTTTTTTTTTTTTTTTTGTAGAGACAAGGTCTCACTACGTTGCCTAAGCTAGAAGCATACATCTTTAAAAAATTATACTTAATACAAAAGTCCATGATAGGATGTTACAGTTTTAAAAATACATTAGTCACCACTTACTCAACTACAAAGTTTTTTCCTTGTTTTCCTAAATTCAGTGCCAACAGAAGTAAATAAATATGTGTTGAATAAGTCAAGCAGAAACATGTATTTAGAGGAATGAATTAAAGATAACAGTTTTATTCAACAAGCACTTCTGAATACTTGGTATGAACATAGCAGTGTTTTGGGTATTACAGAGAACCAATAAAAGTAGAAGATATTTTTCTAATCCACAGTTAGATGCATGATATTATTTAAATTTATAAGCTATTAAAATGAAATCCAAATGTGTAAATTCACATTAGAATTAAAAATTGTTAAATTATTTGTTATTACAAAACTATGGATATGCACCAAATACAAAACAGCAAATACATGAAACATCTTTACAAGTCTTTTTCGGGTCAGGAGAGAATGAAAGTATAAATTTCATATCCTTTCTGATATTAACTTTTAACTACAGAAATGAAGCGTTCACAATGCACAGTCATATTTCTGGTAACATATATTCAATGGTATATGGATGGTGAAAAATCTTTCTAAGTTTTTCCAAGTGAAATGGAAATAAACCAAGGGCCACATAAAAGCAAAAACAAATTTATATGCTTAAGAATTTTTTTGAGACTTTTTTCTCCACTCTACAAATTATGAGTACAATTATTTTAGTATAGGCTGGGTGTGGTAGCTCACACCTGTAATCCCAGCACTTTGGGGGGCCAAGGCAGAATTGCTTGAGGCCAGGAGTTTCAGACATCGTCTCAAACATAGTGAGACAACATAGTGAGACATCGTCTCTACAAAAAAATTCAAAAAATAAGCCAGGCGTGATGGCACACACCTGTAGGCTCAGCAACTCAGGAGGCTGAGGCAGAAGCATCGCCTGAGCCCAGGAGGTCAAGGCTGTAGTAAGCCGTGGTTGTGCCACTGCACTCTGGCCTGGGGTGACAGACTGAGACCTCGACTTCAAAAAAAAACAAAACCAAACCAAAAAACCCCATCACATTTCATATTATAAATAACTAAAACAAGATGGCATTTAAAGATTCCATCCAAATTTGAGATTAAATTCTTCTATATAAGGGTGAGAAATGGAGTGAAAAAAGACACAGAAGAGTCTAAAAAAAAAAAAAAAAAAAGAGCTATAAGGAAACATCCTCCCCTGTACTCACAAACATAGAGCTGAGACACAGAGACATAAAAGGTGGAAAAAATAGACATAGCTGAATCTTGGAGTGCCCCATATGGAAGACTTCCCCATAGTTTGGTTCTGCAAAATAGTTTAACATTTGCATATGAATGGTCTGGTGGCCTACTTCTAAAGACTTCTAAAGTTATACTGTTTTCTTAAGTAGACTGAATTGACTTGAGAATCAGTGGTCACATGCCAGCTTTACTTTATGGCTTGAGCAGGATTAAAAATTTGGTTAATAAAAAACGTTTGATGTTATAGTTCATCTTCTGAATCTTGGTCATAAGCTTTATGAGGTTGTCTCTTAACACTGATTACCAAATCAATGGTTAATATTTTTGTCAAACACTGAAGAACTGAAGTTAGTAGCTGGTATTTACCAATTACTGATTCCAGACCTGTCTGGCTACTTACCATGGGTTGACTGGTTTTCAGTGCACGAAGGGTTCTTATATATATTTGTGGAAAGCTGTAAATTCCTTTCCTAGGCTTGTAAAGGATTTTTGGAATGCCTAAAAGTGCATTAGCTATTATCACACTAACCCTGGCTTCTGATGGCTGGCATTTTTTGGCATAGTTGAGAAGATAGTAATGTAACAAGATCTCAAAATTACCACCCACTGGCAAAACACAACCTGCTGGCATAGATGAGGAACAGTAACTCTGAGAAGTACACATCTTGTATAACTTATATCTGACTGGTAACATGCTCCCCCTTCCAGCGACTTTTGTGACCTGTAAATTCTCATAAATTTCTATTCTAGTGTTTTCTGTTATGGAATTAGTAGTGGAATTACTCTCAAGTAACGGTTCATAGTCATCAACGATCCTGTCTTTTTCTGAAGACAAACATCTTAGTGTTTCATCTGTTTGGAGTGTATCTGCTGATGTCAGTTTTGGTGTTGAACATGGAATACAAGTTTGAGTGTTTTCCAATTCATTTTTGTTCTTTCCAATTGTGTCCTGATGTGGCCTTTGTATTGAGCCATTACCAGTTTCTGGTAACTGATTACTTTCTTTACTATCCCCATAAATAACAGGCCTTGAAGTGTCATTTTGGTCACTGATTTGTGTCACATAATTTAGATCAAGGTCTTCAAATAACTGCCGAAGCATTTTAAATGCTCCATGTAAAGCATCCTCATGCTGTTGAATAAGACCCTGCACAGGTCCACAAAAAACTATACAGTGTGGTACAAATGCACATGTGCTAATCAAGCCAAGATGAACATACCTTTTAGATCTAAGGAAAAGGGGTTTACAAAATTTCACCAAAGCAGCGTTAGAGATTTCACACTGTGAAGAGGCCTGTGGTATTACAAATGGAGAAAGACCAATGATCCTCTGGAGAAGAGAAACTTCTTGTGATGATAAACACTCTACCACTGATATGCCATTCAGTCCTGCATAATAAATAACTGAATCTGGTTGTTTCACACTAGATAGTAGCAATTTTACATTCTGACTTTGTAAATGTTTCATTATTGCTTTTGTCCTTTCCAAAATCCAAAATTGAGATGTTTGAAATTGTGCTTCTGAATTTAGAATCAACTCTGATCCTGTTGTTGAAAAAACAGGCTGAACGGTTCCTGTTACTATCACTGTTCTTATATCACCATCTGCTGGACAGTACACAGAAAAATCTCTGTGAAGCACAAGCCCAGCTAGGATCCTGGAATCTGAAACAGGAAGGCCAGTGACACCAACATTCAACTCCACAAAATAGTCATCCACTAACTCAAAAACACTGGTCTCACTTTTATAAGTTGTACACTTGAAAAAGTAGTCACACATCAACTTTGAAATAAATTTGTGATTATTTCTTCCCACTTTTCCACAAAAGTATGCTTCTAAGAGCAACTCTAAAGAGCCCCTACACAATGTTCTCTCCTTATCAGATAAGGAAAAGATAGACAAGAAGTGTCTACTTAAGTATTGGTCCATAATGCAGTCTAATATTTGTGTCTGAAACGTTAGAAGAGCCTGGGAAAGAAATTTCCACTGACAACAATTTTTCCAATGCCTTCCATGCGTTTGAATATTTTCAGAAATCAAAGAGTTCTTTTCTCTGTCTGTGATTGCATGAAGTCCTCTAAGCAAATGGCAAAGATAGATAATAAATGTTTTAGCACCATCTCCTGTTTTTTTGAGATGACTGGAAACACAGGCCACTATCATCCTGTACAAAAAAGAAATGAAACGACTCATTTTCCTACAAAAGAATCAAGTTAAAACCATGTTTTTAAAGCTATAAGCACAAAATAGGACTACTATTCCTTTGACATACATGCATAGTGTTTTCTTTTCCAAGTTACTTTATTGTATTCTAAGATTCTAGGGTGGGTGGAGTGGAGAGAAGAGTTCCTGAAGTAGATAAGATTCGGGCAGGGCTCTAACGACGAGGATACACCGATCTCACCCGAGACCAGTTTTTCCAAGTGCATACAGCTTCAGGATGGAGCAAGGGGTTCGGTGAGAATGCCGGGGTGACCTGCTATAGGATGGAGTGCGGATGCGGGTACCTGGCTATGGGATGCTCTAAATGCAGCACCTCCAGGAGGCGGCCTCCATCCCGGCTGAGCAGCACCTCACCGGTGGGCTTCGTACACAAAACCTGCCGTCCCTCGGGCCCCACGCAGCGGCTCACAATGGCTTCCAGCACCTCGGCCACCTGCAACGCCGCCTTCGCGGACCCCGCAGCGACCATAGAACAGCAGGCCATTTCAGTACACGCCCAGCAGAACGCCAGACGGACGGAGATCAGGGACCGGACGCGGCCGGAAACGGAAGGGGCGGGAGGAAGGCCGGAAGCCAGTTGCCGAAGTTAGGGTAGCGTAGCTCCGTGGTTGGGCGAGCAGGCTGCCTTTCCGCCCCTTTGGCGGAAAAGCCCTGCGCCTCTGCAAGTTGGGCGGAGCGCTCTTGTCCGCCAGGTTGCCGGAGAGGTTGGCCCTTCCTCGGAGCTCTGCGTGAAAACCCTGAGCCCTTCTCTGGTTCCCTGGGTGAATTCATTTCCCTCCTGGGGCATTAGCCGCCCCCAGATCTCTTAGTCTTCCGGGAAACTTCCTTTCGCAGCCATCACGAGAATGGAGCCTAAGGAGGGAGTGGGTGCCGGGGCAGCACGCGGCTGGCTCACGCCCGCCAGAAGCTAGTTTGGCGGCAAAACCTCTGTCTCGGGCTCACGCATATTTTGGGCATATTCTCCGCCCGTGGCTCTACTGATCTTCGCGAAAGTTGTTTCCAGATGCAGGACAGGTGAGGAGGGCCTGGCTACGGCCAGGAATCGCAGGCTCTGTATGTGCTGCAGGGGCGTTGCCACATTTCCCGGGCTCAGGAACCCCAGTGAAACTTCGGCCGCCATGAGTGACAGATGTGAAGACGAAACCCATTAGTTACACTGGTGATCAGTAGCATGCTTTAAAAACATGATGGTGTTAAGAGTATTGGGTACATCCAGAGACAAAGAACATAGCGTTCCGTGTATTACACACGTATGAGCGTTGCATTCAGACCTGGGTTTCCTCTGCTGTTTACTTGTCGGTGACATTCAGCAGGTAACCGCCGTGGTCTCTGCTTTAATGACAATAGCGATAACGGATATAAATTTTAAAAAAAAACCAAAAACTTAAAGGTTTTGAGGAGGTGGACAGTGTTTACAAAGCACTCTGCCCCCGACAGATATTAACAGCACACCCAACACATTGAACTGTGGTGAGTCACCGCTCTCCTGGCTCATTCCCGCAAGAAAGGATATTTTGTAAGGCATGGAAGATTGAGCATAATAGCACAACACACAGCACCTATCAGAGTCAAACCATGTCAGTGTTGGCAATACCCTGATCTTGTAGATGTTTCGCTGAGGTTGAATAATGGGCTGCTTTCCTTACTATTCCTAGGACCAGGAGAGGATGAGCGCGCGCGCGCTCATTAACAAGGTGAAACCAATGGCAGCCAGAAGCAACTAGACCCTGAGAGGGGAGCAAGAATGGGAAGGGAGGAGAGCTGAGGAAATCTGGAGAGAAAAGACTTCTCGAACTCGTCTGATGTGGACGCAGTATGGACTAATAGGTGATCTGAGGGGGGGTCCCATCATATGGATTTACTATAAAAACTTGTTTAATACTAAGGGTTTTTTTCCCCCTATACATCACAAAGGGGTTACCCAATATAGATTCAAGCCGTGGATTATGCCAAACATTTAGAAGTGCTACTGTCAGAGTTCCTTGTCCCTGTATGTACTACATGGATTCAGGTGAGCACGAGAATTCAAACTTGTGTCGTCCTCTTACAGTCAGATTGAGATATCACTCTTACTGTGTAGCTTTTGGAGTCATTTAGCCTCTGAACCTCAGACTCTTCATGTATAAAATCTGGTTACCTTCCACTTAAGGTTCTTGGGGGGATTCAAGAAAAATGAATATAAAACATTAAGTAAAGCATACTTCAGGAGTTCTGATAGATCCCTCTCAAGCACTTGGCCTTTCTTTGCAGCTACCCTCACAAAAAAGAAAAAAAAAATTAAAAATTAAGACTAACTTAGTCACCATGTTATATTGAGTCATTTGATCACAGTTTGCTCTTTTAAAAAATTTTATTTAGAATGCCTACTTGTAGAAGTTAGCATAATTTTACAGATTATTAGAAAAATTCAGTTCTTTTTTCTCTGCAAACATTTATAGTAGGTTAGGAATAATAGATTAGAAATGTAATACATTACAAAACAGTAGCCTATGACTATCTGTACATTTACTATGCACCTTAAGGAAAAGAATTTGACAGTGTGCTGTACTTACACTGCAGATAACACTGTTATTCTGTCACACAGAACTGACCAGTGGTAGTGTTTGAATTTATAAATGGCCATTAAACAGAATATTTAAACATGTATATTTAGCATGCTAAAAAGTGAAAAAAAAAATCAACTGAAGTTCTGTGGCTCATCAGTTCAAATGTTTCATGGCATTTTTTCTTTAAATGGAAAAATTTTGATATTGTAATACTAAAATAATTTTACATGATAAATGCAGAAATAAAATTTCCTAAATATTTTAGAAAGCACATTTTGTCATGGATTTCTTGTGGCTCTTCTAAATATGTTAGTCATATTATTAAGACACTGGTCCTATACAATTTTAACAATCCATCTTCAATTAAAAACTGTAACAAAAACAGAATGCTAAGAGTAACAAAAAGAAAAGTATACTTTTCTCACAGGATAGGTAGAACAAAATGAAACCAAATTACATAATAATGGCAGGTTATACATTTGAAAGAATCTCTTTTTCCAATTAGTCAAATAAGATAGAGGTTGAAATGTAAACTTACTGATTTCTGTGGGGTTTCCCCCATTGGTTCAAATGGGAAAATTTGATATAAATGCTATTATTTTATTTCTGTATTTTAAACATAATTCACTATAATCTGCAGTTTCATGTATATGGCTCATCAGTAATGCCATCATCACTGTATGTCAAATGAAAAACAAAAAAACCCCTACTCATTACTCACTAGAAATGCTAGACACTGGAAAAAATTGAATTTTATACATTTGTTTTCTTAAATTTTGACTAAGATATTCTTCAAAAAGTTAAAACTGCCTTCCACAAAATTTTGTGTGTATATGGCACAAGTTGACACCCAAAACAGTGTGAATTCCATCGAAAAGGCACTGTTTACAATACACAGAATATTCTACTATAATATTAGAGTGAAGAATATATTTGAAATAGGTACATAGACAAACTCTTACAAAAGTGTAGCATTACTGTTTAAATATACTATAGCTATATAAAAGGAAATAAAGTGACACAGAAATGACCCTTTTATGACAATTATGCCTATAAACACTTTGAATCATATTATGGTTCTGTAACACATAAATGACAAAAAATATTTTCTTAAAGGCACAAAAGCGTGAATACTAAATGAGGGTTGTATTTTACAAGGCCAACTTTTCAATGGAATGCAGTTGCCAACTGAGCTATGCCGAAGACTACACTGTACCTTTATAAGTGATACAAAAAGTATTGACATGAAATACAAGCAAAATATCTATTGCTGAAACTTACTTAACATTTCACATGCCCTATTTATTGTTTTTTTGTTTTGTTTGTTTGTTTTTTTTACATATCCTGGACCAGCTACATCTTACTAAATGGAAGATACCTGATGGCATAGTACATTTAACAACTAAAAAGGAAATGCACATCAGTAATTATTACTCAGTTAAATTTTCATGTGAGAAAATAAAATGTTGGTAAATGAAAAAAAACTGGTCATAAGGTTATAAATCCTAGAAACCATCATGAGGTTCTAAGACAATTGGGAACTATATTACATTATGACTCCACATATGAAGGAAGATTACTCTCAGGTAAAGAACATTCAAAGTAATTACATATTATGGCTACAAAGTTAATTATGTATTTTAAAGATTCACATAACTAAGCCTAGTATAAGCACTGATCTAAAATTAAACCACCAATTCCTGAGTTTCGTGTTCAGTTCATAGGAACTTGTACAACTAAAAGCATAGGGGACTGTTAGATTAGATATATGCTTTTAGTGTATAAGAAACAGTCATGAATAACCCTGCTCTTTCTTATGAAACAGTTTTTGACTCTTTGGGTGAGAACCCATAACATGTCTTAAAAAGAAATTTTAAAAATAAAGTATCTAAGCCGGGCTCGGTGGCTTAGCCTGTAATCCCGTGCCTTTGGGAGGCTGAGGTGAGTGGATTGCCTGAGCCCGTGGGTTCGAGACCCGCCTGGGCAGTGAGACCTCATCTCTACAATAAATCAAAAAATCAGCCGGGCATGGTAGTACATGCCTGTAATTCCGGCTACTTGGAAGGCTGAGGCGGAAGGATCGCCGAAGCCCAGCAGGTCGAGGCCGCGGTGGCCAGGAGCGGCCACTGCACTCCAGTCTGAGTGACAGAGACTCCAACTCAAAAAAAAAAAGTATCTAGTCTTAGAGGATACTCATACAAATAAAACATTATTTGGACCAAATGAAAATAACTTACATGTGGATAAGACCGAAACCCTAAGAGGTGGGCTACCAACAAAAAATTTTAGGTTTTCAGCCGGGCTCGGTGGCTCAGCCTGTAATCCCACACCTTTGGGAGGCTGAGGTGAGTGGATTGCCTGAGCCCGTGGGTTCGAGACCCGCCTGGGTAAGTTGGCGAGACCTCATCTCTACAATAAATCAAAATGAGCCGGGCGTGGTAGCACACGCCTGTAGTTCCAGCTACTTTGAAGGCTGAGGCAGAAGGATCGCCGCAGCCCAGCAGGTCAAGGCTGCGGTGGTTGGAAGCGGCCACTGCACTCCAGTCTGGGTGACAGAGTGAGACTCCAACTCAAAAAAGAAAAAAAAAACAAAAAACTTTAGGTTTTCAGGGCTTAATGATGAAATTATTTTTGTGATCAGTCAAACAAGTTATATGTAATATAAATTAATACCAATTTAAACCATAAAAAAGATCAAATTGTACAGTATTTACAATTATCAATGAATAGGCAGATGAGCATTAATAGAATGTGAATACAAAAATTACACTGACAAATATGAAATACAACTCCCCAAAAAACATTTGTTCTAATGTCATGAAAATATGGGTACATGTACATCTTATTTATGCTTTTATCATTTTAAAAAATAATTTCACATGTACATATAGAATACAGCATTATTTTGCCAACAAAACATGGGGCATGGTTCTTCACAGGATACTTCAGATGGCTAAACTGGTTAGGAAAAAAAGCAACCTCTTTTTATCATTTTAATTTTCACAATTTAACAATCATCCCTTGATTTTATATTTATCATGGCATGAACAGTCAGTTGTGATATCTCACAGTCTCTTCTTAGTCAAAGGCAAGTGTGGCAAGAGCAATTATTCTCTCTGATCTTCACTGTCTTTAATAATCATTTCAAAATCGATACTTTCAGGATTCTGAAACATACTTTAGGACAACATATTCCTAAACTTAATTACCTTGGCAAAAATTGCTTTTGAGGAATATAAATACTTATGTAGAAACACAAAGTCAAAATATTAAACTAAAGAAACAAACAAACAAAAAAATTAGGAAAAAGTTTGCTGTAGTTTGAAAAGGAATCTTAAAGATTGGGGTTTTGCCACAGAAAGAAGTTACTAAGAACAGAGGAGGATAATAAGGAATTAAGCTTCAGAACTTGATCACTCTTTAGATGCTCATCTTATTGCACATTGTAAAGAAACCAATTTTAATGTACATATAAAGGCCACCACACAGTGTATTTTCTTACTGCCTTTCTCTTTTTTGGCTTTTGAAGTAAGATATTGATTATAATATTTTTTGTATTCTACTTATTCACTGAACATACTAGAAGCTAAATGGAAACTAAAATAATGAAAAAACATGAATTATCAGCACTTTATATGCCCTATAAACATCTTTAGAATTTGGCCTGTGTTATGAGCCAGCTGAGTTGAAACGAAACAAAACAGACAACAATTTTGACCACACTTTTTCAGCAAGTGGTTAAGGTGGTATAATCAATCCAAGGAGTTATATACCTGTTTTTAAAATATTGATGCACACATAAGTGCATATATATCTGTATCTATAAATATTAAAGGGATTAAAAAAATCTTGTGTAAGCTGGGCTCGGTGACTCAGCCTGTAATCCCGTGCTTTGGGAGGCTGAGGTGAGGGGAATGCCTGAACCTGCGGGTTCGAGACCTGCCTGGGCAACTTGGCGATACCTCATCTCTACAATAAATCAAAAAATTAGCCAGGCGTGGTAGCACGCTCCTGTAGTTCCAGCTACTTGAAAGGCTGAGGTGGAAGGATTGCCGGTGCCCGGCAGGTCGTGGCTGTGGTGGCCGGAAGCGGCCACTGCACTCTAGTCTGGGTGATACAGTAAGACTCCAACTAAAAAAACAAAACAAAAAAAAAATCTCGTGTAAACCTTTTAAAAAGCAATTTGCCATCTGTCTCTCTATATATATTCATTTTGACCAATCACACTTTTTTCTTTCTGTTTCTAAGAAGACAACCGAGCTGGGTGCTTTGGAAATAGTTTTAACAGTACAATGTATTGAATTACTTATGTCTATTATTCCATCATTTCTCATTCTAATTCCATTTTGATAAAAGTTTTTTGCCTGTATTATGAAGAAAATAGACTATTATACATATATTTATAAGATTGATAGCATTTTTGTTATGAACAATGTTAATATTATACCTCAGAACATACTATGGAATACAAAGACTACTGTCAGGTACATAAGAGACAATTGTGCCTACATGTGGATTTATTATACTCACATATAGACCACATTCTCACAAAAGCTGCAAATGTCCTGGCACTTAACACATAGCTCACTTTAATAACCAAATAGGATAGCTCTTGTTTCAGGTTGAGGATAAAAGATATGAAAGGTCAATATCTCTACAATTATCTCCTAAGTTTTAGAAATATTGCGATTTTTGATAAAGACCAAACCAACTTGAACATTGGTCCCTGGCCAAATCTGATTATTTCTAGTCATTGAATCAACTGTAGAGAACTCCTACTTAAACATGAAGTTTATTATGACTTGAAGCAAAATTAGGAGGAAAATGATGAAGTAGTCTTTTTGTTGCAGAAAATAATCCGTGGCAGGTGTACTGGAAGCTAAATGATTTCGAAGAGCCATAATATTTCTACAAAAGTAAGCAACAACAAATTGAAATGTTATCAACAGAACTCACAATTTGTTCTTATATGGCCACAGATCATTTAATTACATTATCTTGCTAGTTCAATCAATTATCACTACCAAAACAGGAAGCTGATTATTCTACTTGAAGCCATTATTAACCTTTGTCTAAATCTAAGTTCCACAGTGTATCAAGCAAGTTATTTAATGGTATGCATCAGATATGACTGTTGAAGTTGATGATATAGAAACCCATCACCTCTGTTAACAGTGGGATAAAATTTTTTTTTTTACTTAGTTGGCTCACTAAGGTTCTCTTATCTTTGCAGAGATACAAGATAGAGGCAGAAAAAAATTCTATATTTCCCAGGAAAAAATACAACAGATTTCATGACATTCCCAACTTAAAGAATGCTCTACAGCCTTTTCATATATTAACAGAACTAAAATGTTAATTTGGTCATTAAATGAGCTTATACTACAAATGTTTTTGGCTAAAAAGGACTGACAAGTGGAGCATCGTTTCTTTTTTGGATTTATATTATTAAAAGTGTTTTACCAGCATAAAGAGAGAGAAAGACAGGAGGGTAAAATAATCAAGTACGCTAATTAATTTATAAATATAACTAAATCAGGATACTTGAGCACTTTATATAAGGGCTGATGATTCCAATATGCACAAGACATGCTCCATGCTTAAAAGGAGCTTGTGGCTAGGCACAGTTGCTCAAGCCTGTAATTCCAGCACTTTGGGAGGTCAAGGTGAGAGGATGGCCTGAGCCCACAGGTTCAAGACTAGCCTGGGCAACTTGGCAAGACCTCATCTCTACAATAAAGCACGTGCATGCCTGTAGTTCCAGCTACTTGAAAGGTTAAGGTAGAAGGATCGTTGGAGCCCAGCAGGTGGACGCTGGGATGACTGTGAGCGTGCCACTGCACTCCAGCCTGGGTGATGGAGTGAGACTCCAACTCAAAAAAATTTAAAAAAAACTTGTAGTCCTTTAGACTCCTTTAGGACAGACAGACACACACAATAACAACTCTGTAGTGTAATAAGTGCTCAAAAGGCATATGCACAGAAATTATGCATGCTGAGTTGAGAGATTACTTAACTCTATACGACAGGACAGGAAATTAAAAATGTTACACAAGGGGTAGCATTTGAACTTGCTTCTGAAGGATAAACAGAAATTTTCTTTAAGGGCAAGGTGAAAAGCAGGGCAATCTAAGAAGTGGTTCAGTGTGGGCAAAGTTCCAAATATGGAAGAGCCTAGTGCATTCTGGTAGATGTAAGGAGTTGCAGAAGACTGAGGCATGGGCTGGATGCAGTGAAACAGCAATTAGATGTAATCCATGAGATTTCCAAGAACAGAGAACTTGCTTTTTTAAAAAAATAATCAACCAGAATATCTAGTACTGAGTACTGAATAAAAAAAGAGCAGGTGGGCTAATATTAAACATTTTTAGCAACTGATATAGCAAAGGAGGAAACCAGTCTGAACACATGTGAGCCTCAGCCATGGAGTAGGATCAGCACCTTTCTCCTCCAAGGAACCTCCCCAAGTATTAATAACTTTTAGTTGCTGGGCTGCGGGGTTGTGTGGGGGGGGG